TTTCATAAAATTAGCCTGACATCTAAATATTAAATTAAATTTTAACAAAATATTATCACATGACTATGAGGTCGTTTACTGTATCAGTAGAATAAAGGCTGATTTTTAAAATATTTAGCTGACATAAGGCATTAATACTGAATGAATTTTATTACTGTAAAATCAGTTAACAAATCAGTAAATTTAATCTCATTTAAGGTGATCACAATAAGCTCATTGTCAATAACCCTAAAAAATATCTTTATATAGGAAGAAAAGGTCCAAAAGGGAAGGGGAAGTGGGAGGGGTAGGGGAAAGGAAAGAAGGGAAAGGACTAAATACGAGAAAAGGAAAATTGGAAACAAAGTCTTTATAAATAGGGAGGGGTGGAGGGGGTGAAGGGAGGGCAGGGGAATGGGGAAAATATAAGAATCAAGATACATCATGTAAAGGTACAAATTCTCAATGATGAATGTCAGCATATTGCATACCTAAAATGTACCAATAAAATGAATGAATGAAAAAACTCTTTATACTAAGACTATCTTTGAATAGTTAAAATATTGTAAATGGGAAAATAGCTTTGACTGGGCTTACAAAGAAAGAACTACTGACATTACTAGACAATATTCTAGAAATAATAAGTTTTGATTTAAATACACACACTTAACAAGCTAAGCATTTTAAGTCTCTGGAGTCAGTTTCAGAAAAATATAGATTTTATTTGTTTTTTTGAAGCTGAACATTCACCAGCAGAGGTCACTATTATACCAGGTCTCTGGATCTGTTTGGCTATACTAAAAATTAGACCTGACTGAACTTATAATAAAAATCAAAATCCCAACACAGAAAATATATAAGTATATAACTGCTGCATAAAAATTCAAAGGTAAATCTAAATGATTAATCATTTTATACTTTTAATAAGCACCATCATGCAATTTTCCAATTGCCCAATGGAGATAAATATATATGCATATTTACATATTTTGTATATTCATATCATTTTATATACACAGTGATGCATAATATACAATCCCAAAAGTAAAATATTCACATTCTGTATTTACATCTTTTATCTAGAAACATTCTACATTTTTTTTGAAAAAAGCAACAGAGATATACCATCATCAAATCAAGATCATCTATTTTGCTTCTCCTAAGAAGAAACTTCATAATTGTGATTAGCAGTACTTATGAGGAATAGCCTCGACACCAGGACATGCACATAGTTCCACACATTCAAAAAAGCTTCAGTACTAAGTAAAACAATGTCAAATATGCCAGAACACACAATGACAAGAGGCTTGCAAGGAATGGAAATGGAGATGAGATACAGCTTTTAGCTCATTGCCAGCAAGGCCAAGAGGGAAATAGGCCAGCTACTCAGTTGTGACCATGTGAACCCCAAACTCCAGGGTAGCAGAAAAATCTCTGGAAAGAGAGAGACCATGGTGTATCTGCCTCAGACCATGGTGTATCTGCCTCAACTCTGCACCTCATACCCAAGTCAGCAGTCAGATCTATCTTCTGAGTCCACTGAATTCCTCCAACTTACATTCTCACTCCTTTGTTAACTCAAAAATTCTTTTAATGGGAGAAAAGGTCCTTCATTTATTGTTAAAACAGTAGTCTAGCAATAATGAGGTTTGATTTAAATACATACACTTAATCTAACAGCTTTAACTCACTGGGGTCAATAATTTCTCCATCTTGATAGGGTCAGACTTCCAAGGATGGAAAGTATGAAAGGAGATAGAAGGGATGAGGAAAGGGCACAGCCAAAGGGCTGGAGCAGAAGATACTTTCCACAGCCCTCATGGTGCTCTTTGGGCCCAATCTTACTTAAGAAGCTCAGAGCAAAACCAGCCTGAAACCAGCACTGAAGCATTATGTTCTTGGAGCTGTAAAGTCGGCAGTTATAATTTATATGATGTAAAGATGATTTTTCTTTTACTTTATATCTCACATTTTATTACAAACATTTTCTTCTTACTTTTTTATGTGAACTATTTGAATATACAGAAAATGTAAAAGATACCTGAAGGTAAAATGAACACACTCCTCCTGGATCTGACATTTAAAATTTTGCCACCCTTACTTTACCTATATATGTATGTGAAGATGTATTTATTTAAACATTTAAAAACTATTTACTTACTTATATTTGGCTGAACCATTTTAAACTCAGTTGCAGATATCACTATGCTTTGTCCCTAAATATTTCAGCATAAGTCTCCCAATGATAAGAACATTTTTCTACTGATGCCACTATCTTCTTAATTCCAAAGAAACATTAAGAAATTCCCTATCATGGGCTAGTATCTGGTCCACATTAAAATTTTCGATTGTTCACAAAAATGCTTTTAATAGCTGTCATTGTTTTGAACTACTACAATCTCAACAAAGTTCAAGGATTGCATTTTGTTTTTACTTCCTCAAGAACGTTAGTCTTTACCCACTTTATTCAAAGATACTATTTACAGAGACCAGGCCACTTATCTGAGAGAATATTCTATAAATGTTCACAGAGGTTATCTTCAAAGCACCATCACCAAGGAGGTTAGTTAACTGAAGACTATACTAATTGTTATAACACTCACTACATTAAGTCTACTCAAATGAAAAAATTTGGAAGTTTAATATCAAAAATTGAAATAAAAGCCATAGGGGAGGCTTTTAGATATAGTAGTAATAATGAGGGGTAAAACAGTTTTTAACACAAAAAAAATAAATAATATGACATTATGCCCCAAAATTCCTGATACCTTATCTTGCCAGATTTACATTCCTTAGAACTTAAATTGCTTACAATCCACTATCACTTATCAAACAATGCTAAGTATTTGCTAAGAGGGGGAAAAAAGAAATATGAGTAAGAACATTTGGTATTTTAAATCTATTCCAAGAGTAGCACATACAAAACTGGGACAGTATCATCTGTATCCTCCATCATATAACTACATTACATTGTTTATGAGTAAGAGCTATCAGTAAAGAAATGAACACAAATTTAAAAATAACACAAAGAATTAGACATGGCAAATAAACACATGAAAAAATGTTCAATATCACTGGTCATTCGAGAGATGTAAATGAAAACAATGCTGAGATTCCACCTCACTCCAGAAAGAATGGCTGCTATCATGAAATCAACCAACAACAAATGCT